AGGGAAAGGAAAACAGCTCCTGTCTCAAGACATAGTTTTGCCTATTCTGAGTATCTAAAGATGATAAGAAAATAAAACAATAATAAAAAAAAATAACTGTTTTAATAACAGTCTTCCTCAATTGTTGACATCACACTCATAAATTAAGCTTTGGAATCCCTACCATTTGCCCAAAGAACTAAGGCTACACAGAAGTTTTCCAAGTTGTCTTCTTCCTCTGAACTTTGATCTTTCAAAAGAGATATAGGGCATATTCCATAATGGTACTGTCCTATGGGACAGATTCTACAGTTAATTTCAAAAAGTTTGCATCAGGCTAGCCTTCTGAAAAGGTGCTACAAAAAGTACAACCATTTTTGCAAAGATTTCTGTGTTTTCAGTGTCAGATGGAAGGTCTTGCCTCATTGAGAATGAAGGGTTACAAACAAAACTGAAGATAATGGTAGCAGTCTAGAATAGAACTGCAGATAGTACAGTTCAGCTAAGTTGTATCCTGCATATTTATTCGCTGCCTATTGTTTGTTATTCTAGTGCCAGCACTACTATAGCTGTCCACTTAGCACCCATCACAGATTTAGACACAGGCCTGTTCCACCACTGCAGCACTTATTATATAATTAATGACAATTTATATTGTATGAATTAAATAAAAAAGATGTCACCACACTGCACTACTACAGTCCTACATGCTATTGCAAGAGCACGCTTCATAAAGAACACACAAAGCAAAATAACGAGTTACAGTTTATAAATACAGAGTTGTATTAAAATTTGGGTTTGATTCTTTTAACAAGCATCAGCCCAGTAAAACTCACAGAACTACGATGCACGACACAAGACGGGGATGATACCACAGACACCACAGACATGGAACAGCATGTGTTGGTGTTGAACTTACAGGCACGTAAACTGGTGGAGCAATCATTAACAGAGACAGAAGAAAGTGGGAAGGCTCTCTCAAGGGTGTCCATGTTACTATGTACACTGCCTGACATGCAAGAGCAGTCACGCTCAGAGCGTCCGCAATCAAAACAACATGCCAGTTTCATTCTCTTGTAGATGGACATCTTGGCTATAACCATGTGTTGGATGGGAGGAGAGGAAGAGCAGCAGGTTAATGGCAAGGTTATATATATAACAAGGCAGCTGGAAGGTAATTTAAGGGATTTAATACAGGCCTTAGTTTTTGTTAACAGTCTTGACCCAGGAAAAAAAAATGCAATGAGATTACTGATAAGACTTTGGCTGTACATTAAAAGTAGGGCAAAAGATAAATTGCTTTTTATTTCTGTTCAGTCTTATAGGGTGACCGCAGACATGGGGAAGAATAACTGTTTACAGTCAAGTGTTTGGATTAAAAAAGAACATAGTAAAAGCAGAGAATCCTAAGAATGTATTTTTCCCTTGGCACAATCAATACTACTGGGCTAAAAATGAAAGCAAAATTTGGAAGTTGCTTATCCATTAAGTATTTTTGGCCTATCCTGCTTCCTGTAAAAGTTAAGACTTTTTTTTTTATATATATATATATATGTATGTATACACATACAAAAACACACATACATATATATTCTTACATACACTCACACACACATATACATTATACACAGATACATATATATAAATATATCTATTCTTAAACATATGCTGATCTTTTATCTGTATTAAACTGTGCCAGGGAACTCCTTTAATGCAATAAATTACACATTACTAAAGAGTTACAAAATGTTCATAATTTTTTCTGAAAAATACATTGTACCTTCAGGAATTCAAATTAATTGATGACAGAATACTAAAGTTTGCCCATATAAGAGACACAACTAATAATGGTAAATATGCTTGACATCAAAATCAGTTCACAAATAAGGCATCACCAAAAGCACATAGAGCATTGGTCCACTGAAACATGCTGAACCAATCATTGGCATGTTTTCTGCTCTCGATGCAAAGGTAGATTAAGAAACAAATAACTGAATATAGCATTAGGGGCTAATTCCGAAAGGAGTGCCAGGTTAGAATAGCACATTTTTATCCTTTAGTCATTTGAATATCCTTGTTACGTATTTTTAGAAATATACAGCATCCTAGTTTAAAAATGCATGTGTAACTACCATCGTGCAATTTTGTGTTACCTGAATCACAGGTATGCTTTGCCTGAAGAAGTGCAAAGGCCACTTAGATTGTTTCACATGTTGCACTGAACTAACACTTTTGGTAATGGTTTAGATTGAACTGACTCAATTGTACTAAAAACAAAACAGAACACTGACAGGCAAAAACAAAACCTTAAAAGCAAATGTAGAACAAAGGTAATGTTTCTCTGGCCTGTATCTTCAGTTTAGGTTGTCTTTTTTGCATTATGGTAATGACATAAAATTTAAAATAATTTCTCTTTTTTTTTTTTTTTCCCAGTTTCTTAATGCCACAGTCACCATGGAAGAGGGATTGAAATCTCTCAAATGGGTCAAGTCCTGTTGTTCTAAGGCCTTGATGACTTGCCATACAGTATATTTGTCAAGCAAGGGTAACATTATGACTGTGAAAAACAGGCATTGAGGGAGATGAATGAGTGATCTCTTCAGCAGCGACTCCATTCCTCTAAAACTTTGCTCACATGACTAATGCCATGTTCTTTTAGCATCCTAGTAGAGTTATCTTACAACTGTTCAGAAAGTCATCATGCAGCATTAGGCTGTTCATTGCATGGTACATCATTCCTCAGAGCTTGGCTTTTAGTAAGAAGGTTTCCACTGCAGCTTTTGATGCATACACATTCAAACTACACATAAAATTCAAAACAGCATTTGTTTTCCCATGTTTTCCCTCTGTCTAACTCTTCCCAACATATTCTTTAAAATTGAAAAGTTGGGCAGAAAAAGAAAAGTGAAACATGTTACCAAAAAGTGGAAGTCTTTCCATTATGACTATTTCATTAGTTTCACTTTAAGGAAATGAAAGAAAAATAACAGGCATCTGTGAGATACACTAACAATAGGTGAGGTAAAAGGCAAGCCCATCTTGTTTTAATTATAGCTGTTTTGAAGGACTTTTTCTAATCAAATGCTGTAGCAAAACACACTGCTCAGAAATTCTCAACTATGTCATTGGTTAGTAACAGTCCCTGTTTTTCATTTACTTGTAAGCCGTATCTTGTCAACAGTCAATAATAGGATAGGACACATTTACAAAAATTAGAAGAAATTATCCTTAAGGGCAAAGAGGGTTGGGAAGAAAGCTTTTAGTACCATTTTCATCAGACTTAAACCAATGAAGTGGGAAATTTAAGCCCTTCTGTTCAACAGTGGAAGGACTCCATAGAACTTCTCAAAAGCAATGCCCTTTCAGGGACTGTTTATAACTATTATTATCAGTTGTTTTGGAGATCATGCACCATTTTAATATTTCACATCATCAACATGCAGGAAACAGGCTTGGACCTGGAAATATAATTAGCAGAAATGACTTGCTATAAGGGATTCAACCAGTATATAAGCAACTGCATATCAGAGCAATACATTTTTGGAAAAAAAAAAAAAAAAAAATCCAAAACCAAAAACCAAACTCCAAGCATGCTGTTACTATTCATTCCTTTTATACAGTCATTTTTACATTCATACCAAATACAATACTTATTTACTTTTAAATAAAACAAAACATGGATTATTAGTAGGGATGACTAGTGACAAGATCAAAGACAAGACAGAAATGATTTTAAATGGTTCAGCCACACACATACCATTTCCTACAAAAGTTCCATAAACACTAACAAAAAAATGGGAATCATCAGAGAGACAGGGGGACCTTAAGAACAGCCTCAGGGTGGGTGCTAAATTCACTTGACACCTGTAGCACCTGCATAAGAATCAACTCATTTCTATTCAAGGAAATGTGGATGTTGAATAGAACTGTTATTTCCAACTAGTGAAAATGTAAGTTGGGACATAAAGAAAATTACTTCCCAATTTTTAAAGGAATGATAAATGAAAAAAAAAAAAAATAAAAAAAAATTAGCTCCTTCTACTTAGTATGGTGACAATCTGACAGCATTTGTAAAATGAATTAGTAAAAATATCAGGGGAAGTTATCAGGGACACAGAAATCAGACTACTTAGAAAATTTACTGAAAAAAAAGGTGTATATGAACTAGTCTGATTTGCTAAGAGCAAAAGTAAAGCAAAATACCTGTTAATTTTAAACAAATACTTTTAAAACCCTTTTTTGCTGCAGTTTTTCTCAGAAGGCGATAGCCTTCTATTCTAATAAGGAAGGAATGCGCTTCACGTGTCCAAGCTTCTGGCAGTACCTTGCTTTCTGATCTCAAAAATGTCAAAAAGTCCAGTCAAAATTTCTAGATTGTCTGGATCAGAGGTGTTACTTAGAGTTCACAAACAGTAATGGGAAATATTTCCAGCTGCAAAAATAAGCAAAGGCAACTGCAGATTATTCTCTACCTAAGATGTCAAGGAACAGCTCCTTTTGTTTTTAAAGCAAGCAGAACAAAGTATCCCTTAATCTTTGCTGTTTGGTTGTTGGTTTGTTGGGGTTTGTTGTTGGGGTTTTTTTTGTTTGTTTGTTTGCTTGCTTTATTGTTTTGTTTTGGTTGTTGTTGTTTTGGGGTTTTTGTGGTGTGGGTTTTTTGTTGTCGATGTTGTTTTTTCCTAATCATAGGGTCTACTGAACTCGTATTCCACCCATCGCTATAGCAGTTTTCCTTGTGACCTCGACGGGAGCAAAAAGTAGATCTCTGAGGACATCTAGTGGATCTCTATGAGATAACAGCTGGTTAAGAAGATGAACTGGAAGTTTCTTGACCAGCAGATGGTAAAAAAGGTCCCACTACACTTAAGAATTGAAATGCACTCAGTGTCATTTCAATGCATTGAGTTCTCATGATACACACTATGAGTAAAATAACAGCAGCATTAAAGGACGACCAGACCGTTTTGATCATCTCTTAGCAATGTTCATTAGCATCATGAGACTGAAAGATGAAAATACTGAAAGGACTTTCACCAGCACAGTCTCAGTTTCCTGAAAAACACAGCAGCATACTTTACCCTGTTTGTGATAATTTACCTTCTGTTAACACAACAGGCAAAGGTGTCTCTCTATAATTTAGTTTTCATGGGCAACTTCAAAATCACCAAGTCACCTTGTTCTCTATCTTGCAATTTTTGCAATCAAAGGCAATTTGTTAGTTGTTTTCTATAATTCATACAGGGCTGTTCTTTGTCAGAACTGTAGAAACAGCAAGTGACTTGAGTGGACATTTTGCCCTATTTTAATAACTATAAGAATAATTCACAGGTTTTGAAGTAATGGCACATTTATAGACCAATTCATTTTAATTTTAAAATCTGATCATGACTCTTCCTTCATCACCTTACAGAAGACTCTCAGTCAGTGCACTCTGAAAGACAACTGCATTGCCGAACAAACTGAAGCTATTGGGGAAATGGAAAAAAACAAGTCAAAGCTACATAACCTTTTCTTTTTTAATGCTCTCTTAGCATGAAGCGCTCTTTTATTTCTTTATTTAATACTATTTAAACTAATGTCTCTGGTCCAGAAAGGCCTCAACATACAAACGTATTTTAAATAAATATATTGCTCCAAATAAAGCCAAATTACTTCCAGTATATTGCCTGAAAGTCAATAGGAGTCATCATTTTATCCATACAAATTAGTTTCTTTCTGGCTTATTATCAAGTATTGATTCTTATCATGCTGACCTGTTTCACAATCTGCTTTTCTGTGCTGCCCCATCTTTCTGCTGTGTCATTCTATTGGCTGAAAATAGATCTTTGGAGAAATTTCTGTTCTCTGAATGCTTTCTATCACAAGAGGGTCTCAATCCTGTACTGCAGTTTGCAGGCACTACAGTAAGATGAATAGTAAATAATCATAATCATAATAAAGGCCATTTCAATTCCAAGATAGCAAGCACTTGATCATGCAACTCCAGGAGTGTGAACTTTTTCTTGATCCTGTGGTGTGTACAGCTGAGAGGGAAAAATATCTCAACCCTGATTAAGGCCTGAAGTGTTATCACACAGTAAATTCAGAATATCTGCTGAAAATTTGAACAAATCTCATAACCTCACTTATTTAGAATAGCTGCAGTTATTCAATATGGTTAGCAGCCTCAATGTGGTACAGTAATGCCTCACTGTAGCTATGAAATTTTTGATCCCTCTTGCTGTTTGAAGAACAAGACCATATAATCCCAACACTACCCTATAACCATAACAATACTCTATAACCATAACAATACCCTATAACTATAATAACCTTTGTAGTGCTTGCATTTCTAAGTATCAAATTCTTTCCATGTCCCAAATGCTCTGTTTATTTATCATGACTATATGCACTAAACGTGGCTGATGAGAGCCTTCATAGATTCTGTACACTTTAAAGAGGTATGACTTAGACTGACATGAAGTGGTCTATAAAGTTCACATTCTACATACAACAATGTAAAACTTCACATCTTAGGTCCTAAAAAGTCAGTGTGGCTCTACTCATGTAATTAATTGGAAAACAAGCATGCTGGGGAAAACAATCCTCATAGCTTGTTTCCTATTGAAGATTTCTACATTAAAAGCTGGCCATGCATTTAATTCATTGTCTGGCTTTCCCCCTGTCTCCTTTTTTTTTTTTTTTTTTCCCCAATGGGAAGAAAGGAGTTAGATAAGGAAAGTAGAAGACTTCTGTGCTGCTTTTTTTGCCAGCTATGGAAAAGACACAGTACAAAAAGAATTGAACACAGGTCTGACAACGAATTGCACTTAACCCGGCAAACAGTGCTGTAGAGGTAATTACTCCAACCTAACTGATATCTCTAAAAATTCATGAGATATTGCTGGAATAATTTCAAGGAAATACTATTGCCAAGATCTCATTTTCAAATAGTGATAAAAAAATAAGGTTGTGGAAAAAAGGGGCAAAAAGGTGGAAGAGGGGAAAACTGCTGTATTTTCTTCAACGTCACCCTAATCTCCATTGGTGTAAACGATGAGAAACTTGTGGGTATGACGTCACTGCTACATGCAACATAAATAAAGAAAAGAACCAAAATACTGAACAAAAATACTCTCTGCTAGAAAGACAGGTTGGACCGCACTCTGGGCTACAGGGAACCCATTTTTACTCACAATAGATCACTATCAGTGTGCAGTTAAAATATAGTAGGGGCCGTGTTCCAAGGCAGCAAGAGGAAAAATAAATCAAAAGTTTGTCAATGATCATAGATTACAAGAAATTCCTTCAAACACATCAATGTACACATGATATATGTTCCCTGCAGGGTTCAACACCCACCGATCACAGCAAGCACCGTCACTGGAAAAAATATATACAGAATTAGACCATAATTGTTGCAGAAAATGAAAGAAACAGGAAGAGTAGGTCATCCAGTTTAGAGATTTCATCCCAAAGTAGCTGCATTTTGTATAAATATATACATATATTTGGCCCCTTGCTGCAAAAACTACAGTTAAATGGAATAGGAAAGAGATTGAAAACATTAAAAAAAATATTAACAATCTGTGAATAAAATTTCCATACAAGTACTTCTCTGGACAATGTGACATCAGCATTCATTTGATATTCAGGGAATGGGATGGGTAAGGAGAAATGGATGGCAGAGAAACTGCAAAAGGAAACAAGGTTACTTTAATTTTCCCTGGCCTTGTAGAAACATACTGATCTACCCTGCATTATTAATATTAGGCCTAACAGGTTCAGACAAATGGCTATGTAGGTCAGACTCAGATTTAGACCCCAACAATACCACAAACTAATGTTCAAACAGTATCTAAATTGATGTGCAAGCTCAGATGCATTATTAAAGAATGCGTTTTTCAAGTGTCACAGGAAGCTGCATTAATTAATGCCACCATAATTAAGTTTTCTTTCACTTTTACTTCACCTGAGTGTGTCAATATTTTTACATACAAACTTTCATTTCATCTCACACATTTTCCACATTCAGCTGCCTCTAATTGCCATGTTACTCACTAATTAAAATATATATTTATCATATAGGACTACATATACACATGTGTGACTATTTGCAGTGTCTTTGAAAATCAAACTCACATATTAGCTGTTGACAAATCAGTTGACAGTTTCCTAATTCAATAGTGAAAAGGTTTCTCAATTTATGCTTTGTTTTGGTCAGACTGCATTTTTAAGACCAATGATTTGTGTAGCTTTCAGATGGATAACATAGTTAAGATTTTTTCAAAAGTGATTAGTGATTTGAAAGCTAAAGCTAAGACATTTTATGTGAATAATAAACTGTACTAAAGACTTACCTTAAAAAAAACCAAACAAAAAATCAGTCCAATGAAAGGGATTTCAAGATTGTCATCAAAATTTGAGTGACAAAAATCCCTAATTACTGTTGAAACTTTTAATTTAATTTTTTTTGACAGAACTTTAAAAGCAAAGCAATTGTATTATTGTTAATACAATTATTTCTAATAGTTGTGAGCATGCTTCTAAGTGGAAGCTGTTCTCAGCTGCACTGATTGCTGCCAGCTATCATGGTATCTGTGACCATGTGTGTATGTAGGAAAGGAGAGGGGAGAAGGCAGATGGGGGAGAGGGAAATTTAAGATTTTACTCTCACCACTTTTTTCTCTTTTTCACGTGACTCAGAAGATTCCCTCCTTAGTGCTAACTGCAGCAGCTCTCAGAGCCACCTCTTTTTGCCTCACTAATTCCATCATTTTGTTTCTTATCTTTCCAACACCATTTCATTTTTTGGGCTGATGCATGTGACCATGCTGTTTGGAACATTTCCAGACACAAATGTCACTCTCAGCTCTCCATGGCCTTACTGCTGGTAATATAGCCATTGTGTTGGCTGAGTCACAGAATACTGTTTTCTCCCTGGTTTCCTAGCACTGAGGAGGTTCCATTGATTCTCATTAGTGTACAATAAAGGCCTCTTGCCCTTTATACTGTGAATTGCTGAATCCTATCTTATAACAGATTTCAATTAAAAGTGTAGATCTTGCATTACAAAGACAGATCTTTGGGAATCTTTTTTTTTTTCTTTTTTAAGCAGCATGTGTAAAAAGCATATACTATGTGAAGGAGGAGAAAATACAAGTGAAATTATTCTCTTTTTTTTCAGGATCAAATATGTTACCTATGTACATTTATTTCTTTTTAACTGTTCAGTAATTTGGAGAAAAAAAATGGGTTTGAGAGTTTCAGACACCCTGAGGCATCTGTAACTGGCTTTACCAGAACTTACTCAGCAGCCTCATTGGCTTTGCAGCACTTCAAAGGTCACATTCTCACATTGATAAACTGTTCTTCAACAACTTTTTTCCAATATGTTAGGCAATGCATACATTCCTTCCACATCAGGCATGCTTTCCATGTGCTTTGCTCTCCTTGTGGCTACTAGGAGAATAGATACCGTTTTCTGTCACTGGTTTAGCTGCTCTAAACAACTGTAGTACTTTGTTCCACACTCCTGTTTTTCTGTGGGAGAGGAATTTCTCTAAAACCTCCAGTGACATATTTTTTTCTTTTTAAAATAATCTTCAAGAATTCATCAATTTCAGGCACCCCTTAAAGGCAGAGACTGTCTGGCTTAGGCTTTCTTTCATTTTCTAAGGCAGTACAGTGATAACACTATGACTGGATCTATAAATAAGAGATTTCTCTTTTGAAAGTAATGGTAAAATACACATAATCAAACTCTTCTGAGATCTTTCAATTTACCTGATGAGCACTTTTGAACTGAATGAGCTTTTTCATGGCAGAATACCATGGAATGCACATAAATAATCAGCTATCCATTGAGAAATGGATCCCTACATCCTTTTGATAGCAGTATTACAAATACTCATGAGTCAAGGAAGAAGTTCTTTACTGTGAAGGTGGTGAGGCACTGGAATGGGTTGCCCAAGGAGGCTGTGAATGCTCCATCCCAGTGTTCAAGGCCATGTTGGACAGAGCCGGGTGACATGGTTTAGTGCAAGGTGTCCCTGCCCATGGCAGAGGTGTTGGAACTAGATGATCTTAAGGTCCTTTCCAACCCAAACTAATCTATGATTCTATGATCTTTGGCCAAAATATGGTTGTGATAGTTCCTGTGAAAAGTCCTTTCAAGTATAGATAGATAAAATGCTAATTTCTATACATTTATAAATATACAGATGTGATGTCTGGCCTCAATTCCAAAACTCAATTATTTCTTCATGTAAAACTTTCCAAACAATTTAAAAAGCAGCCCTAAGAACTTAACCAAACAAAATATTAGTATTACAGCTATGGAATCTTCTAAAAAGATATATGTAATAAGTTAATATTTAATTTTTTTCCAGACAATCCCTTCCTCCAGTAAAACTATCATTTATGTCAATAATAATTTATTTCAATAGTTACATGATTGAATATTATTCTTCAGTTTCTTCTTTTACAGAATCATGTTTAGCAAGACAAAATTTTTTCACTATATAGAAACCAACAGAAATTAATGGATTTCTGCCACTAGTAGAATGAGTGCTGGTATGAATGAGAACAGAAGTTCACTGATATCTCATTCTTAACTCAGAAACCTCCACAATCTAGCTTGATTTATTTCTTCAGGTTTTGTTAGCTTTGGAACCTAATGGACTTTTAAATGAAGAAACAGCTGAGTGTTGCAAAATACAATAAAAATTTATGGACTTCAGAAATGCAAATGGAATTTACTATGTTGCTGTGCATTTATTTCTTAGCTTTTCTGTATTATGGTTTAAACATGTACAGATAGATTCTTCAAAGCTGAACAGTTCATGAAAAGGAGAATAGACAGAAATATTACTTACGCCGTTTGCAGCCACATTTTTTTATCCTTTTGGGATCCGTGATGTCATCGTGACAGGCCTTGCAATAAAAAAATGCCCTAGAGAGACAGAATGGAAATACTGACACATTTCTTAATCCATATAAATGAAATTAGTCCCACGTTTCCTCTTGCTGCAGTGCCAAATTAATGAAACATGCCAGCACTAATTTCCTTTAATCTTTGAAAAGGTTTAGACATGTAAAGTAGGAAATATTTGCTACAAGACCATTAATTTCAAGCATAAGACTCCAAATTAGTGTTTCTTTTAATATACTTCTATTTGAAAAGTAATTGGGAGAAAGGATGATAATTATGACACAGTGTATCAGTTCATTTGTCTTTCATCTTAGAGCAACCAATGAATTTTGTCACTAACATATAAAAATATATATATGTAAAATGAATACACCAGAATAGATAGAGCAGATTTTTTTTTTTTTTAAAGACTGTCTGGCACCTTTGACCAATTTTTCAGCCCAGCAACAAGTAGAATTCATTTTGGATACAAGAAGAGATTGCAACAATACCAATGTGACAGTAAAATCAGATATGCTATTTAAAAGTCAATAAATAAAAGGCCAAACAAAACCAGAAAGGGACAATCTGCTCAAAACAAGTTCATAAAGGAACATCTAGATGAAACTGAAATAACCTTGACTCAGGCTATTTTTTCATCCTTCATATCTGAATACAGCAGAACCATTTCAATTTTGAACAAACAAAAGCCAAAATTTCAAACAAAAATATACAACTAAAAAGGTGAACCATCTAGGTTTCCATTTATTATTTTTGCTTATGAACATCTAATCTTGTATCAAGTGGCTCACCACTAGATGAAGCATAGGAGAACTGAGGAAGTGAGAAAGGGTAAACATTTGACTGTATATAAGAGTAAAACAAAATTCAAAAATCATAAATATGCATCAGACTGCCCAGACAGAAGAGTTTAATCATGCCTGTAAAGTCAACATGTCATGTAAGGCTGCTATGACACACTTCATGAGGATCACACAGCTGGCCTCCAGCTGGACAGTTACAGTTTACCAGGATTACTCGCATAACAAATTAAACATACTTTTTAACCTGCTGAAATTTCCCTGTACTTATTCATATTCAGGATATGTCAGCTCCATGACTATCTTCCCAACCTTTTCTTATTGGCAGGAATTGCTTCTCAATAAAAATTGCCAGTAAGAACCAACCACTGCAACCACCCATGAATTTTGCTGACAGTACTGGATGATTAGATTGCTACAACAGTAGGGAGGTCACTGGAACAGAACAATCTACAGTCCAAAAAGAAAAGAAAAATTAACAATATTAATACACATCCTCTGAATAAACACAGCCTTTGGCAGTTCAGTTAGGACAACCACTACAAATTCTTTTTAGATTAATAAGACAGTGTTCACCACAGATGGAACTTTTTTAAAGGAAATTTTCAGATGTGTGAACTAGATACCCAATTCAAATGGTTGCAAATTTATCCAAGTTATTTTACACTTCTGAATAATGGCCTGGTAGTTAAAGTGGCCCATCAGGAGAAACGTAGCAGGTCTAGCATATGAGAGATGGACCAGAAAATACAAATTTAAATTTGCAGTAAGACCTCACTGAATGTTATTAACATTTCTAAAATCAAGATAGAATGCAAGCTACTGATGGAAGACTTAAGTCCTACATGTAGCAGAATTATTTTTTCTGAGAAACTTCCAAAAACATTACTATTTCAGACTGTGAAATTGTCTTAGGATTTCCAAGAAACAAAATGTAAAATGAAAAAGCCTTCTCTGAGCATTTATATACTTTGCTACAGAAGGTTTCTGGTCTTTGTCCTGGGTTCAGCTGTAATATTACTTTTCTTCTTCCTAGTATCTGATGCAGTGCTGTTTTGACTTTAGTCTGGGAACAACGCTGATAACATACCAGTATTTTAGTTGTTGCTAAGTAATGCTTACTCTCATTAAGGACTTTTCAGTCTCTCATGTTCTGCCAGTGAGGAGGGGCACAAAAAGCCAGGAGGAAGCAGAGACAGCACACCTGACCTGAACTAGTCAAAGGGGTATTGCATACCACAGCACATCATGCCCAGTATATAACTGGGGAGAGTTACCCAGAAAGGCCAGATCACTGCTCAGATGCAGCTGGGTATTGGTCAGTGGGTGGTGAGCAATTTTAGTGTGCATCAACTTGTGTTTATTGGTTTTTTTTTCCCTTCCTTTTTTAGTTTTATACTGTCTCCCCTTGTTATTTCCCTTATCGTTATTATTAGTAGTAGTAGTGGTAGTTTTGTATTATGCTTTAGTTACTGAACAGCTCTTATCTCAACCCATGGGGTTTACATCCTTTCAATTCTCCTTCCCATCCCACCTGGAGTTGGGGAGAAGAAGAGAAGGTAGTGAACAAGCGGCTGTGTAGTTCTGAGTTATCAGCTGGGCTTAAACCACGACAGCCTTCTAAAAATTCAGCTTCCACCTAAAAGAAAACAAACTGTCTCCAAGGAAATAAGAACAGAATATTTTTCAAACCATGAGTTGATGTCACAACATAAACGAGGAAGAGAAAACTGCCTCCAAGTTTTACAATTTCTCCCCAGTCCAACTGTATTAAACAACAATCCACTATCACAAATATTCCCTCAGAACACTTCATGACACAAATTAGACACAGGCTATCTCTACAGATCATGTTTCTGAAGTCCACTGCAGAACAAATGTCTTAAGGAGTACGTTCTGTCTCATATGCAAAGTCAAGAGCAAACACCTGCAGTGACTGCTGTAATAAAATGATCCTTCAATATAATAGTGTTTAATATGTGGATTTGGAGCACATGAATTTCTGATGTTAGTACTAACATGTAAATGAATAAAGATAACATTCCTAAGTTTGTATTCTATTTTAACACTGTACATTTTACATGAAGATATTTATCTAGACAATTGTTTCTAGGTATAATTGTTTCTAATGTGAAATTACTGTTCTAAAAATGCAAAAGTAATTCTAGAAAAAAGAGTAATTGAACATTGCATGTTACATTTCATTGTGGAATATATATTTGATAAATAATTTTAAAGGAGCTGAAATTTCTCTATTAGTATGTAACAAAAAAAACAGAAAAAAAAAAATTTATTTTCTGGTACGTAACAAGTTTAATTTGCTTTATTTCCACACACACACACACACACCCAAAAGACCTCAATTTCAGTACATTTTTCTGACTCTGATTCATAGCTCGAGAGGGTGAAATCAACACTTTCCATAATTGGTTTTGTTAGTTGAAACACATCTGATAATCATTTGTTTTGCACAGAACAGCTAAGAAATGTGTTAAGGGAGGCAGAAAGTTTCTAAATGAAGCCTTCTGCAAAAAGCAGAGAAGAACTGGGAATTTTGTTTCAGCTTGCTATTAGATAAAACATGTCAGATCAATGATGTGTAAAATTTCTCCAAACATATTAATGTTTGAGCAACCTGGTCTAGTGGAAGGTGTCCCTGCCTATGGCAGGGAGGGTTGGAACTGAATGATCTTTAAGTTCCCTTCCAACACAAACCATTCTATTGAATTCTTGATTCTATGAACTGCTCCCTGTTCAAAATGCCGTGCCAGGTAATTGTTATTTACAGTCTGAAATAATTTCATAGGAGAGTGTAAAATGCCTTAGAAATGAAAAAAAAAAAAAAAAAAAAAGCATCTCAGTAAAGGATTTTGAAGACAGTTCTCTATATTCAACTGGAGAAAAGCACCGGAGAGGAAAAGAACTATATGCTGAAAGGCAGCATACCTGAGGCAGTGCTGGATGCAAATGCTCCAAAAATGGTGCTAGAAATATGAGAGGACAGGAGCATTCCTGTGCCGTCCTGTATGCTTCACCGACCCCAAAACTATCTTAACTCTTACAATAAAAACAGAATTCAAGTTCTCAGCAATTTCATTGCTTAATGTTTTGACTTTCTTTAAATATTCATGGAAAACATGCATTGCTTAACTATTATTTTCACTGCAATTTAATAATAAAAACCTTAGGACTTTGTAAAAGTTATCATCTGAATATTTTATCATTCTAAGCATAGGATTTAGTTAAAATATCTAACTCAAGGAAAACATCAAGTAAAAATCATATTCTTGATATCATGATGTACAACAAAATTACAAATTATGAGGAAGCACTCAGCTGCAAATATTCCTTATTTTAATCTTATAGACATTGCATAACTATTTATTTTAAAAATTATTTTCTCAGGTAGTTCTTTTATTGCTTTCTATCATATTATAATTCTAATAAACAAGAGTAAGCACATTTGGTCCTAAGCAGAATAGCACAAAACCCCCTTTCATTCAACCCAAATCTAACACAGCCAAGCACAATGAACCTCTGAAGTTGTCTGCAGTGGTTGGGATATACTGCATGGTTGTAGCTTGATTTATTATTATGATTTATTGTTATAGAATATGCAGTTCAAGTAAAGAAAAATGACAACAGCATAAATATTATTCTGCTAATGCAGTTACTGAATGAGTACAGTAGTTTGCTCACATCAAACATTTGCTTAAGTCTGTGTAAATAAAAAGTACTCTAAACCTGAAACTCAGAGAAAACTGTAATCTCTGTCCTCTCTCAAAGTAACTCGACTGAGACAAATTAATTATAGAGAAGTCAGATCAAAAAATTTTCTAGAAAAACTCACAAAAAAAAGGCTGTTCATTTCTTTTCACATCTACTGCAAAATGATTTAATTTCCTTGATATTTAGAGCTGCAGTTAAGAAAATGGGTGGCACACATGATTGCTTCACTAGAGTAGCAACACAATTCCCCCGAGAATCTTTTAACAGATATTAACGAAAATTAGGTGTTTACATGCAAAGAAACAAAACCAGAAATTAAATACTATATGTTTAAATTTAAAAATAAAAATATATTAATTACCTTTTTACTTCTTTGGCATCACTTGCAATGAAGAATCCTAAAGTACCTTCTTGAATCTTGACATGGTTTCCAGGATTGATTAATATACTGCTCAGTAAAACAAGAACAAAAACAACAAAACCATAAATTTATATTACTTTTAACTGAATGTTCAAAAATAGCTTTATCTATAGGGGACCCACTAGATAGGAAAGGCTGCAAGGAAATTTTAAGCCATTTTTCCTTGAAATTTCCAATCAAATAACAGTTTTACATGCTTTTTACAAAAACTTGAGACAGTCACGTCTCCACCTATAACCACATCATTTAACTGATTACATATGTTTTCTTATGTTTTTGCTTTAAATATAGACTATACAAAATAACAAAGCCTCTCAGAAATATGATGTGTGAAGCTGAGAATTTCGGCTTTCTTGCTCTTTTATGCAAAGTGGTGAAAAATTCACATTATGCTGAAAAGGGAAGAACCAGCAACCACCATTCAATAACAATACAAGATATCATTTATGAAGCTAAACCCTTTGATGTAAATTTTTGCCAATTTCTAGTGAAACAGAATGTTAATGGGACCCCTATATGGACATATAATGTTATTGTTTAAAATAATAAATACACACATACACTCAGGGGGAATGGTACAAGACAACCAGTCACGACAGCTGAAAAAACATAAAATGAATAGAAAATTTTTAAATCAGCCACAGAAGAACAAAAAGAACCCAACCACACTGACAGAATAGCCTCAGCTATATTCAATGATTGAAATTATAAACTGCTTCCAGGAAGTGAGGTACTCCATGTCTCTCTATGAATATCTTTTTTTATTTTTATAATAATTTAACACTAGATTTTAGGCAAGGTACTTTGCAAAGTACCAGTTAAATTTGAATATACAGGTATAGATGTAAACATATTCCCTGATAATTTTCATTAATGTGTAAGACAACTAAGTTTTTGACTTGCTAAAATTTAAAGCTTGCCAAAATTTCTCTCTCTTTTGTCTCTTACTAAGGCTTAGCCTTTTTAAGTCAAAAAGGCAAACATGAAATTTGCAGTAAATAAAACCTAACATCAATTTAAACACTTGCGGATTTAGCAAAAATTGATATTGAGTACATATATATAAAAATAAATAAAGCACATTTCTGAACACATACCCATTATTAAAATGTGAAGGCAAAAAAATCTTTAATGTTATTGTTAGGAGAGTAAATGGGTCTCAGCAGATCTCTTATTCAAGATGTTATTTATTATCTATACATAATAAATTAGCGTGACAAAAAATATACCTGACACCTTTATAATAAGCACATTGTTTTGTGTGATTACACATGTTCACAAGGCCCTATGAAAAGAATATGCAGGCTGCAAAATAAAGTGCTCTTGAATTAAGAATTAAAAGGTTGGTCATTGCAGCCATACTTCATTATATAGACGTTATAATACAGTACTTAATTTAATAGCCACAAACTATTTTTTTCTCACAATCTGGAACTTCATTCAGTGGTTTTTAATGCCATTACTCCATGCATGGCTACATGTAGTTTGTCTTTCTTTAAAATCAGCATCATATTTTTCTCATGTGTTTTTCTGCAGTGTTCATCACTATAGCATGCAAAAGATTCACAAATACATAATTTATTTTACAAGAAGAATGAAGATAGAGTATTAGCCCATTTTACAGATGAGAGATTAAGTCACTATAAGATATGGTAGCTATTAATTTGGGATGCCTACAGGCCACTTTTTGTAAGTATTTAGCATTGCATCATTCCATAGACATCTTCTAGGGACTTTTGTGTAAGTAAGAATGCTCAGCCTTTCCAAAAGCCCAGCCTCTGGTTCCCAAAATAATAAACACTTAATCAGAGGTCATCTGTAAAAGGTTTGGTTTAAATTATTAGCTCACTCTCACAGAGGTATTCTGTGGCAGAGGCTGGAACAGAAATTAAATCTCAAAGAAAGCATTTACCCAGATATCCTTCCTTTTTCCTTCATTCACAGTTTCAAGCTTTTCAACAAAAAGGAGAGGAGAACTACAGAAAATGGAAGTCATCACCACAGAAAGCAGATTCATCTAAACAGCTCACTTAAGTAGTATTGCAGAAATGAAATGTGATGATGTAAATAACGCCTACATTATGCACGCAGATATATGGGAAGAATGAAAGTTGCACAACTAAACCTCACATCTGGCATTTCTTTTCTTAGTCTATTGGGCTTAGTGATTGCACTTGCAACCATAACATTTACCTAATGCTGTTTTAAAATGCATTTTCACAGGTTTTAAAATGGAATAAAACAGACAGGAAGAAAAAAAACCCCAAACAACCCCACAAGAATATCTTCATATAAAACCAGTCATTCAAGTCACAAAGAGCTTGGAAAATTCAGATTCCCTGTGCAAACTTTTGCCTCTTGAGCCAACAGAGCGCTTACTAGCTGTTGCAGAGATACCTTAACATCATTAACGGAGACGAGACGTACACTCTACCAGTGTACTCAGAGAAAAAATTTGAGAATGGCCTATCTTCAGCCTCCAAGCCTGTGTAAGCCTAGATAAGTCACTTCCAAAGAATCAGGAGAGAATCTTTCTGCCACTAATTCTCCAAAGTCTTTCTGCCAGAACTTTCTAACATGTCTGTAACTTCATCCATATTTCAGTCTCCACTTTTCCCTTTCCCTGTCTGCTAGTCCTTAGTCTGCCATTATGCTGAGAATTTAGCTGTTAAACTTCTACAGATGCTAGTCTCATTTCTACTATGCTGTTCCTTCTAAAATATGTTAAGACTTGTAATATGGTTAGGGTTGGCTATTTTTGCTAGGTACAAATGGGTACTGCTCTGTCAGAAAAATACTTTCTTCACCCTTATTTTGTTCTTTGCCCTTAATCACAGAAGTATTACAGCTTTTCAGAGTAAACAGATGAACAGATTTCTTTACACAGACTCACTTTTCTTCCCCCCTCATCCCATTCTTGGAGATAGATAAACCATACCAAAACAGTAAAAAATTCCAACGTAAAGTTCAACAACCCAAACTCTACAAGCTGAGGTAATCACTAGATATGCAAATGCTCACCACCTCAAATTTAAAATTCAACAGAATAATTAGCAAATTAAGGAGTTCTTTTAAGAGACAGTGAACACAATCCTAAATCAGGAGTAACAGGCTCCATTTAGGATGTACTGTGTTGTGACCATGATTTTGTATCTCAAGGTTTTCTGAGACACATGAAATCAATTCAGATGGGCCAGTGTATAGAGTTTATTTTTGTCATATCTAATAGTTCATTCACATACACATATTTCCACAAAAACAATGTAGCGATAGCCACAAAATATAGATGTCATGGCAGTTAATGCAGTATGACCCCAGCAGCAGTCTTCTTTTGGGAATAAAAATGAATTTGCCCCATCACTGTTAGTGGCAAAGAATTACAGCAAAAGCTCATAAAGCTTTAGGTTTACACACTGATATTTGACCAGAGCAAAATCATGAGTAATTTCTACTGGGTCTAAATGGATTTATTATATATGCTGCTTATTAAAGCAGCAATCGCATTATTTCTTAAGAGACCTGTAGTGTCATTAGTTAAAGTTATGCTTTGATAAGCACTCACTCTAATATGTACAGCAAGGGAAATGTTTTGAATTAAAAGAATAGAATGTAGAGAGCAAAGAGGACAGAGAAAAATATAGCAGGCTTATGAGCATTCCAAGAATAATGCATCCATCAGATATTGAGAATGCATATATCTGTTTAAGCAGCTCATGAAAATATTCATATATAACCCCACAGTTGAGAAGATAAGTCCATGGCAAAGTAAACCCAAGTTTTAAGAGAGAAAGATTCAGCTAATGTCTCATTTTTATGTATCTCCAAGGCTGGGGAGTTTTACACATACAGGAATAAGTAGGAAAAGAGAAAAAAGGTCAGAAATGCTGTAAATTTAATATTAATATATATAGCTAATCCATATAAATTCTGTCCCACACAATGGGAAAACGCTGTTGAAAATTACACCCCTGATCTTTTTAAATATTTTTTTTTATCATAAAACAGAATTTGATTTTTTTTTTTTTGAATCTCCTAATTCGGCTCATGAAATCAAGCGAGGAATGCCAACCATTGAAAAGTTTCTAAGACTTTGATCAAATTTTATAACATTTCTGGTTTAGGTTACCTCAGAAACTAATTAAGTAATAGTAAGCCCAAAAAACTTTTAGTAGTAATTTCCTTAAAAATTCCAGTTCCAGAAATATGTTCCTCAGGACAAACCTTTTCATGACAGTGTCACATTTCACTAAAAAAAAAAAAAAAGATTATCTTGCTTGCTTGCTTGCTCCTTCAAACATGAACAGTTAGAAGACAGGGCAATTAAAGCCATGTACTTTGAATATGTGTAAATTAAATATGATTTTATGTGTTCAATAGGAATTTAATGTGCTTTACCAGCACAAACTTAGAAGTCAGTTCCATTACTCTATGATAATACCACAACTTCTAAGCCACCTGTGGAACAGAAAGCAGTCTGGAAACCTCTGCTTTACAGTTACCTGACAACTAGCAAAAGTTAGGTCATTTGTTCAACAAGATCACACATCTATGAGCAATGAAAATGTCACTCCTCGAAAATGTGAAAATCACCCTTGATTTCAATTGTACTCTCAGGAATCATAGAATGAATTGTAGAATAGTTTGGGTTGGAAGGGGCCTTTAAAGATAGTCTAGTTTCAACTGCCCTGTCGTGATTGGGATATTTTTCACTAGAACAGATTGCTCAAAGCCCCGTCCAACCTGACATTGAACACTTAAAGGTCTGGAAAGAATCAGAAAGAATAGTATCTACACAGTTGAAACTGAATTCCCAGACTGCCTGAAATATAAGCAGATGAAGCACAAATGGGAATTAGTACACATTTGAGAGTTTTTAAATAAATGAAAAATCCAACTGTGGTTAGAAAAATTCTAGACGAGTGCTTATGGATCTCTTTAAATAGATTATTCAATGAAAAGTTAAGATAGGACAGGATGACTTTTTCATTTGTCAGTGAACAACAGATATCTCTGTGTTAATTTTGATCGATTTGCTTACTTGTTGGATTATATATTTCTGATGTTTAAAGTATACATGCTACCTTCAGTAAAGAACAGATATATGTAAATATCTATTCATCCATTCATATTTACCTGAAACTACCCCTGTACATAAGCATTGCTCAATATCTTTTTGTCGTGCATGAATGGTTGGCTGCACAATACAACAATATTGTGACCTAGATAAAGAATACCATATTATGTCTTCCCATAAAGCATTAAAAGTGAGCTAAAGTTTTGATTACTAATTGCAGGTCTTCCATGTTTTGCTGCACTTCAAGATATTTGATGGACAACCTGGTAGTTGGAGGTTTGAACTGTAGGACAGTTTGTTAACTGACACATTGGGGCAGGACTATTCCCTCCAGCTAATTTTTTTGTACTCATTTCTGCTGTTGGGTAATTTTTATTTGTCTCCTGCTTCCAAGCATCATACATGTTGGGCTCCCAATTGTGTTTCATGGGTTGAAAGAGCATTAGAAAGTTTGATGGCTGATATATTTTCATGTTATTAGAATATATAAAACATTATTTCTAATAAATATTCAGTATACAA